TGGCTACACTAAAATTCACCGGTGGAGAAAAAGCACTGGAGTGTGTTGAGGAGAGGCAGACCTTCAAAACTATAACTTAAATAAATAAGTAAATATTGAGAATCTCTCTCTCTCTCTCTCTCTCCCTCTCTCTCTCTCTCTGTGTGTGTGTAAGTAACACTTGTTGTGTAAGTAAGACGTGTAAAAAGCTTATGGCACTATCCAAACCTGGTACTACCAGTGTTTCATTCTTGAGTTTATCTCTTTCCTGTCAGTCCACCCATTTTAATCTTATTGTGCCCTAACAAATGCTAGGATTAGGGTAATCGGTGTACTGTATTATGGTTAGGGCTATTTAGTGTGTTAGGATTAAAGTAATTCAAATTTGGTAGTTTTCCCCATGCTGCTCTTAAACTGAAAATGGGTGGGTGGTGGGAAAGGAAGAGTGTTAAAAGCCAGTCATTTAAAAACTGTGAAGGGGCCTGAGTCATGGTTTTAGAGCAGTGAGATGGATGGCAAATAAGTGGGAAGGGAGGGTGTGATATTCTGTGAGAAAGACTGTTACTGTAAAATGACAAGGTGGGGGGAAGGAACTAGTAAATAGTGCATGTCAATATTTAATCAAGTTTCCTGATCTGCTGTAGCTAAGGTTTTTCTTTCTGCAGATCTTCAAGGAAGTAATTCAAAGGCCTTTCTAGATAACTGCAGAGTTAATGAGACTGCATGCAGAATTTTTATTACATCATTGTGCTTCATGTTTTGGTACCGTTGTCTTCCTTAACATTTTATCAAATTCTAGAGTCTAGATGTTGGGCCAGGGAGGTTTGCATTTACTTATTTCTTCAATCAGTCAATCAGTTTGTATCCCACTCCCAGTAGTGTCACAGCACTACAGTACTCTGCATCATGGCTTAGCTTACCTCACAAGTTCATTATGAGTGTGAAACAAGATGGAAGCTTGTATGCTTTCTGGAGTTTCTCGGATAAATGGATGTATATTATTAACGATGATAATTCTCTGTTGTTAATACTACTACTACTACTACTACTACTACTACTACTACTACTACTACTACTACTACTACCACCACTACTACTACTACTACCACTACTACTACCACTACCACTACCACTACTACTACTA